GTGGTATAAGATCACTGTTAGACTAATCGTCTTTTTTGTTCCAGATTGTACGGAATTCAAATCTCACCACCTGTTAGGGTGGGATTTGTATCAATGTCCCCAGAATATTAGTTGGAGTTTAATGACATTATCACTACTCTTCCCTTTATTCACCGGAGTGTCAGGCAAGACTGTATGCTTAAGCCTCTAGAGTGGGGCCTCAACTAACAATCTTCTGACGCAGAGACTCATTTCAGGATGGAAACAGGCCAATCGGCCCAACAAGTCCACAATGACTCTCCAAAGAGCATCCTAGCCAAACCCACACCCCTACCCTACCCCGATGTTTCCCATGGCTAACCCACCTAACCTGCACATCCCTAGACACTATGGGGCAATTTAGCATGGCCAATCCATCCTAACCTGCACATCTTGCGACTGTGGAAGAAAACCAGAGCACCCGGAGGAAACTCACACAGACAGGGGGAGAATGTGCAAACTCCACACAGACAGTTGCCCGAGAGTGGGATCGAACCTGGGTTCCTGGTGCTGTGAGGTAGCAGTGCTAACCACAGAGCCACTGTGCCACCCAAGACAAGAGTGATACCAGATGAGTGAAAGATGATATTGCTGCTTGAGTAGAATATGTTGGGAGATGCCCTTACATTGTTCCGAGCTAACAGCACCTCAGCGATGGTGCATACCTTTGAGCAGAGAGACATACTCTGGGGACAATGCAGAGATGAGACACGAGTCTCAGCCTAGTGCCAGAGGTCTGAGTTGCAAGTAAAGACTGGTGATATCAGAGATTCTTGAAAATCAGGGAGTGAGTGGTTACCTCATGGAGCTCTACACATGGGATTGAATGTTTAAGGTAAATCAATCAGAACCATTACCTCAAAGTAAAATTATGACAGCACCACATGAAGACATAAGCTGAGACTGATAATAGGCAAATTAAAGATTGACAGCCTTCAAATAAAGAGTGATTAACATGCAGGATAGACTTCCAGGCACGTCAGTGCAATCCATACTTCTTGGGGATCATTTCAGAGGTCACTTTTGGATTACTGCCTGCAAATCCTGTCAGTTTGCTATAGGAAGTTGTGAGACTTGAAAGGGCTCAGAAAAGATTTACAAAAATGTTGTTGGGGCTGGAGGGTTTGAGCTATAGAGAGAGGCTGAATAGGCTGGGGCTATTTTCCTTGGAGTGTCGGAGGCTGAGGGGTGGCCTTATAGAGGTTTCTAAAATCATGAGGAGCATGGATAGGGTGAATAGCCAAGGTCTTTTCCTCAGGGTAGTGAAGTCCAAAATTAGAGGGCATAGGTTTAAGATGAGAGGGGAAAAACTTAAAAGGGACCTCAGGGGCAAATTTTTCACACAGAGGGTGGTGTGTCTATGGAATGAACCGCCAGAGGAAGTGGAGGAGTCTGGTTAAATTACACAAATAGAAAGGGTTTAAGAGGGATGTGGGCCAAATGCTGGCAAATGGGACTGGATTAATTTAGGATATCTGGTTGGCATGGACGAGTTGGACTGAAGAGTCTGTTTCCATGCTGTACAGCTCTATGACTCTATGACTCTAATTCAAAGCCATGATGGGGAATGGGCATTGTCAAAGGAACATTAGACAGAATAGGAAGAATGAGACATAAGGCTACTGTATAATGTTCATTTTCAAACTCACCCTCATTTCCCCAATGAGCGCCAGACCATCCCACATCATGGCAGTGAATTCTCAGAACTGACTGCCAAATTTCCAGTGGAGAGGCAATGCATTTTTTGGGGGGATGGAGGGGTAGAGATAAAAAAAGGTTTGAAACATTCAATAAGTGGCAACAGTGGAGAAAGGCAGGGAATGGAGGGGGAAGAAGCAGAAGTGAGGCAGATGAGGAGATGGGAGAGAGAAGAGACACACACTTGCACAGAGTTATGTTTTTGGTCAGATGGGCAAATGGTCTTCCTGAGGAGACAAATAGCCAGAGGGAATTGAGGTAAATAAATTGGACAAAGGATTAGAGCGAAGTTGAGGAGAATTTTTTCACCCAGAGGGTGATGGAATCATCTGGAACTCACTGCTGTGTGAAAAGGTAAGAGAGACAGAAATCCTCAGAATAATCTTTTTTTTTTAAATTTGCATACACACTTTAAATGTTGCAACCTACAAGGCTGGTAGTCTAGGCTGGAAAGTAGGAATAGGCTGGATAAAACATCTTCAACCAGCACAGACACAAATAGGCTGCATATCTGAGATCTGTGCTCTGAATGTTCTACGCTGCCTTTTGAGAGATGCAGATACGTAGCATGGGCACAATTAGTGAGAAACAAAGCTCAGTATTGGGGGAATAGCCTATGATGAGAACAAAACATCATAGGACCTTATTAAAAATACACAAGCATTATCATTCTCTTAGGGAGAGCAGACTGTCAAAAACAATAACTTTTTTTTATATAGTGCTTTTAACACAAGAACTGGGAATAGGAGGAGGATCAACCATCATGGCTGACCTTCTACCTCAATGTTACCTCCCCATGCAATCCCCATATTCCTTTATATTTTTAGAATTTAGAAATCCATCAATGTCAATGTCAGTCTCGAATATACTCAAGACTTAGCCTTCACAGCACTTTGAGGCAGAGAAATCCAAAGATTCACTACCCACTGAATTTTAAAAAATTTTTCATGGGATGTGGGTGTTGTTGGCTGGGCGAGTATTTACTGCTCTTGCCCAGAGAGCAGTTAAGGGTCAACCATATTGCTGTGGATCTGGAGTCACATATAGACCAAACCAGATAAGGAAGACAAATTTCCTTCTCTAAAAGGACATTAATGAACCAAATGGTTTTCTTTTTATGACAATCAATGGTTAAATGGCTGCCATTAGACTAGGTTTTTTTTTTAAATTTCAGATGCTGCCAGACCTGCTGAGCTTTTCCAGCAACTTTGTTTTTGTCCCTGATTTACAGCATCCGCAGTTCTTTTGGTTTTTATTAGTCCAGGGACATTTATCTCAATGCCACTGCCTCCCGACGAGTGAAGAAATTCCTCTCTATCCCAGCATTAAATGGTCTACCCCCTTTTCAGATACTCCACCCTGTTCTCCACAATCTTTTATAGCAAAAATTCCTATTGCTCTTCACTGCAACAGGGATAGTACTTGAACCTGAATCACATTAGTATGTATCAGGTTAGGAACCAAACGTTTAGTCAGATAGATAGGTTTTAAGAGATATCTTACACAAGGCGAGAGGGACAGACAAGTTTAGAGATGATGAAGAACCAGAGGGTTAAAAGACTGGGAAAATGTCAAGAGGGAGAGAAACCCAGAGGATCAGGAGGTCAGTAGCAAAAAATAGCAGATTGTACAGCAGAATCAGTAGCAAACTGATTAAAGAGGCAAGGGTCTAAATTTCAAATCGATAGTCACAGGCTGTCTGGTGATCTGACAAAAACTGTCACTTTATTCATTATTGAAAAATGACAATCACATTTAGCAGCGACAAATAGTTTAATTGCACCATCACCTTAAGAACAGAAGCAGGAAGTGCCAGGTCTATTTTGTTAGACTGGATTCTGTAATGTAAAACTACAACCCACCAACATTCTTAGCCCTTTGTGCATCGTCACTTTGCTCCTCGTTTTGTTGGCCATCAGTTGCACTGGATTCCCGACTGCTGCTGATCCACTCAGCCGGATTGCCTGCAGTGCAGCGAACCTCTTACTCTGCAGCTATCCTGCTAGGCTGTGCCCCCAGCAACAAGGACCTGGAGCATTCTTCCCATCTTGGCACTGGGGCAGTGTGGGACATGAAGGGGAAGGGCTGCCTTAGCAATGTCTGGCAGTGTCAGTTTGTTAGGTAAGAATCCCCAGAAAGAAGGGGGCCTCTGTATAAGGTACATTGAATTCAATCGGCGAATACGTTAAGGCTTTAAACACAAATATATGAATCACCACAAAGTGTATGTAAATTAAAGCAGAGCAATCATAAGCAAAATTGCAACTTAGGAATCCATCAGTTTGATTTGATTTGATTTGATTTGAGCTTGGGCTTGGTTCAGCAAATCTCTATTTGGGGTGCACCAGCAGATAAACAGGAAAGCACCATTAGTAGCAGGGCACAGGGCAGTGGACACATTTAGTGGGGCACAGTGGACACAGTTAATGTTGTGAACAGAGTTCCCATTTAATGGTGTAAGTCAGGCAGATGAATGAGGGAAGACTAGGGTCACATGGACATGTTAAAATGAAATTAATAAAATGGAAACAACCTTTAAGAAAGAGCTCCAAGGGGTTAGGAATTACAGTAGATGCAGGTAGGTGATGTTAAGGAAATATATTTGTATTATGTCCACACAGGTCCACAATACAAATTACCTTATAGTTTTCCAGTCTTCATGAACTTAGAACCACTTGTTGGCCTGCAGTTGTTCCTCAGAATCTCATGTCACTCCCTTCACTGTTTTTACTCACCACAGTCCTCTGTTTGTTGGGCAGGAAGACTCGAACAATGGGTTTCTGAGGAGATTTGGGGTTGGCCCTCAAACTGTCGCTCGGGTTCTGTAACAGGCTCGGAGAGTTCTGAGCGACAGTGAGGTGGGTGCAGGGCTCCATCAGCTCCGTCAGAGTGGGATTACTATTTGGGAACTCTGTACCATTCCCCATGGACTCCAACAATTGCTGTTCACGCTGTTGCAGGGCATCCAGCTTGCTTGTGTACTCTTCATAAGCCTGGAAAAGAATACAAGCTACTTAGCAATAGAGAAGTGGTGGGCATTTTTAGCAACATTCCCCAATCATAGAAGTACTAATGCATGGAAGGTGCAGCACATTGTTATCTGCACCAGGTTTCCAAATGAACAATTTGCTTTGAGCTATTCATCTGCCTTCTCACCATAATACTATTCCTCTTAATAGTTCAGCAAAGCTAAACTGAAATTAATAATTTAAAATAATTTACATCCCAATACATTTCCGTTGACATGTAGATTTTTCACAGTGTTTCATATACTGAATATAAAACATCATTTTAAAGACCTCAAACCAACATGTTAAACTGTGCAAATTGTTGGAAAACAAGCTCAGTGCCACTTAATCACAAAGCTAGTTAACTGAGCTGTGAATCATGTAGCAGCAGCTCATTCAGTACATCATGCCTTTGAAAGAGCTACACAATGAGTCCAATCCCCTTGCTCTTTACCCTAGACCTGCTTACGTCTCCCCTTCAAGCTTTAATCCCATTCTCATTAGAGAGTTATCATTGCATCTGCTTCCACCACCCTTTCAGGCTTTACGCTGCAGATCATAACGCTCTGCAGAAAGCAAAAATCTCCACATTCTCCCTCTGGTGCTTTTGCCAATTAATGTAAATCGGAGGCCTCTGGTTACTGACTCTCCTGCTCATCGAACCTGTTTCTCCTCATTAATTTAACAGCAGGGAGGAATGGTGAAATGTGTTTGGGGATGGGAGAGAAGAGGGAGAGGGAGAGAGAGAGAGAGACACGAGGTTCCAGATTTAAGGAAAACAAATCAGATTGGTAAACTATTGAATTACAAAAGCCATGAATTACCAAATGAAAGACAAAGAATTGCAATTGCTCAGCATTCAACACTCAAGAGCAATTAAGGACAGGCAACGAATGCTGATCTAGTCAGTGAATACACATGCCATGTACAAATAAAAAAAAGTCTCTATCTGTGCATCACTAACACCCGGCCCAACTCTCTCTCACACACAGATGACATTCTCTGCAGAATTATTTTAAATTTTTTGAAAAAGTGAGGGTAACATTGACTTTGGGTGACAACGTTAAGCTGACAATAGTAATTCTGCTGTCACTTGGACATCCAACTAACTTCAACTCAAACGGCCGTGATCCTATTCCAATAAAGAATTTTTTATACGTAAAGCATCTCAATGGTCAGACAGGGTGGTGACTATGGTACTGCACTGTCAATCTGAAGGTCACGAGCTCCAATCCCATTCTGTTAGATATTGTCAAATCAAACTGTTCAGAGATGTTATTACACCCCTCTGGAGCAGGTGGGACTTAGGGTCATAGAGGCACAGAGCTGTACAGCACAGACTTAGACTCTTCTGTCCAACTCATCAATGCTGACCAGATATCATAAATTAATCTAGTCCCATTTGCAAGCATTTGGCCCACATCCCTCTAAACCATTCCTATTCATATACCCATCCAGATACTTTTTAAATGTTGTAATTCTAACCACCTCCACCACTTCCTCCGGCAGCTCATTCCATACACGCACGACCCTCTGCATGAAAGTGTTGCCCCTTAGGTCCCTTTTATATCTTTCCCCTCTCACCTTAAATCAATGCCCTATAGTTTGGAATCCCCTACCCTGGGAAAAAAGATCTTGGCTACTCATCCTATCCATGCCCCTCATTATTTAATAAACCTCCAATAAGGTCAATCCCTCAGCCTCTGACGCTCCAGGGAAAATAGCCCCAGACTGTTCAGCCTCTCCCTATAGCTCAAACCTTCCAACCCTGGCAACATCCTTCTAAATCTTTCCTGCACCCTTTCCAGTTTCACAACATCATTCCCATAGCAGGGAGACCGAAATTGAGCGCAGTATTCCAGAAGTGGCCTAATCAATGTCCTGTACAGCTGCAACATGGCATCCCAATTCCTATACGCAATGCACTGACCAATAAAGGCAAGCATACCAAAACTCTTCTTCATTACTTGAACCCAGATCTCCTGTTTTTTGCTCTAGATACCCTCACTATTTGTTCCACTTGCTCCTCCGTTCCCCTTTGTCAACGGCATTAAAATCCATCATTTTCCAGCCCCAGTCAGTTCTGAAGAGGAGTCGCTGGAATTCCATAGATGCTGACAGACCTGCTGAGTTTCTCCAGCACTTTCAGCTACTATTCCAGCCTAACACCTTATTATTTAACTCATTTAAGCACTGGTATCAGATTCCAGAGAATCTGCTCTGTTTTCATTTCAAGGTTGCTATAGATATTTTTAAATCAACCAATTCAAACTGTGTGATTTAACACCTCTGGAACAGGTGGCACTTGAACCTCTGGCTCAGAGATAAGAACATAAAGATATGAACATAATTCCACTGGAGTGGGTACAAAGGAGATTCACCAGGATGTTGTCTGGGATGGAGCATTTTAGCTATGAAGAGAAGCTGGATAACTTGAGCTGTTTTCTTCAGAGCAGAGAAGATTGAGGTTTATAAGATTATGAGGGGCATGGACAGGATGGATAACAAGCAGCTTTTCCCCTTGGTTGAAGGGTTATTAACAAAAAGGCATAACTTTGAAGTGGGAGACAGGAGGTTTAGAGGAAAAGCTTTTTCACCCAGGGTGTGATGGGGGTCTGGAAGACACTGCCTGGGAGGATAGTTGAGGTGGGAAACCTCAACCTTTTAAAAAAGTACTTGGAGTGTCATACCATTCAAGGCAACAGGCCCAGTGCTGGAAAGTGTGGACTAGTGTAGGTAGTAATATACTTTTAGCGGTACGGACTTGATGGGCTAAACAGCCTCTTCTATATATTGTATGATTCTATGATATTACCACATTGACACAACAGCACCTCAGGGTTGATATAACATCCCTGAGGCGTGTCATTCAGAGCTGAATACAGTACTCTGAATATACAACTGACACATAAGTTTCATCCCCTTGTATTTCAGCTTCTTTGAGTTCGAGGTGGATGTTGTACTGGTGAGCAGCCATGCATAGATTACAACATCAACTCTTACCTCACTGTGGTTCGATGCTATGAAATAAACCCTTCATCTCCACCGGGCTATATCAGTGCTTCTGCCCGAGTGGAGCCTTCTCACACCCCTGTTTTGTTTAACCCAATCAACATTAGCATCTATTCCTTTCTCTCTCATGCACCTATCTAGCTTCCCCTTAAATGTTACAATAGTATGTGCCTCAACCACTTCTTACAGTTGTGAGATCTACATTGTAACGAGTCTCTGAGGGAACAGTTCCCACTGAATTGTCTATTAGAATTGTAGAATTATACAGTACAGAAGAGGTCCTTCAGTTCAGAGTCTGTACTGCTGAAGATACACTAAATCAGTGCCACTTTCCTGCACTAGGCCCATAGCCCTGAATGTTATATTTCAAGGTCTCATCCAAGTACTTTTTGAAAGTTGTGAGATTTCCTGCCTCAACTGCTGCCACGGTCAGTGCATTCCAGAGCCTGACCATCCTCTGGGTGAAAAGCCTTTCCCTCAAATCCCCTTGAAAACTTCTGCCTTTCACTTTAAAATTATGCCCCCTTTGTTATTGACCCTTCTACTAAGGGAAGCATTAACAATATCTTTTCTTTACGACCCCTAATTTTGGTTTCCCACAAAAGTGGAAACATTTCCTCCACATCTAGCCAATTAAATTCCCAATCAGAATAACCTTACAGCTTTTTCTCTCCTGGAGACAAGAGCCCCAGTGTAACCACAAGGTGTAACCTCTCAGTTCAGAAGTAATTCTCATGAATGCTTTTGCACGTTGCAAGAGGATTTCAGTTTAGAAGTAGGGATGCCTGACCAAAGTTATACAAATCCATGGTAAGACCAGACCTGGAGTACTACATACAATTTTTCCCTACTTATACAAGGATATACTGGGATAAAGGACAGCATAGTTGCTCAGTGGCTAGTACTGCTGCTTCACAGCACCAAAGACCCGTGTTAAAGTTTATCCTTAGGCAATTTTTTGTGTGGAGTTTGCATATTCTTCCGTGTCTGCATGGGTTTTTTCCGGAGTGCTCCGGTTTCCTCCCACAGTCCAGATGTGTAGGTTAGATGGATTGGCCATGCTGATTTATCCATAGTGTCCAGGGATGTGCAGGCTAGGTAGATTAGCCATGGGAAATGCAGGGTTACAGGGATGGGGTATGTCTGGGTGGGATGGTCTTCAGTGGGTCAGTGTGGACTCGATGGGCTGATGGCCTGATGGCCTGCTTCCACGCTGTAGGGATTCTGTGATTCTATGATTTGAACGGCTGATGATTTGTACTAAAAGGGGGTGCAGTGGGGGATCACCAGAATGACACCAAGGATGGCTGAGCTGTTACAGGAGGAGAAATTGGTTCGACTGGGTCTGTAATCATTAGAGTTTAGAGGAGTGAGATCCAATTGAAATGTTCAAAATTCTAACAGGGCTGGAGGGACTACGTGTAGGGAGAACAATTTTCCCCGACTGGGGAATCTGGTACTGGGGACACTGTCTCAGGAAATATGGAGCAGACCATTTGGGACTGAGATGAAGAAAAATTTCTTCGTTCAAAGGGTGGAATTCTCTACCACAGAAGGCTACGAAGTCACTGAATGCACATAAGAAAGAGACAGATACATTTTAGATTTTAAAGCCTCAAGGGGTACGAGGAGAAAATGGGAGTATGGAATTGAGGTACAGGATCGACCATGATCCTGCTGAATGGCGGAACAGACTCGAAGGGCTGAATAGCCTGCTCCTGCTCCAAGTTCCTGTGTTTCTCCATTGCCTCCTATATCAAGCTGATAACTGAGGACTGGAACCACGTACAGTATTCCAAGCATGACCTTTATAAGTTTGACAAACCTTCCCTGCAATGCCTCTGGAAATTAAGCTCAGTGCATGATTTGCTTTTACCTATAATGGCACCATTAAAAGGCAGCCATTGTAAAAACTTTTCACTGTACTCCTATACTTCTGTACTATAGTACAAGTGACAATAAAGGATATTCTACTCTATTCAAAACAAAAAAAAAAAGGCCTTATTAACCAGTGTTGCTACTTTGAGTGAGCTTGTTGCTTTTAGTGTACCTGGAATCAACACACACACGCACACACACAGTTACAGATATGTGGCAACAAACAGCCTGCATGGGACACTATGATTCCCTCTCATAACAAAGAAACAACCTAATGTTACTGTATTTCTATTAGTCATGGCAAGGTTAGGTCAATCATATTCTTTCAATGGTGAGAATTCAAATCTCAACACACCACAGTGTTCAAAACATCCCAATAAGCAGCAAGAGCTGAGAGGGCATGCAGCCAAGATACAGCCGGTGAACCAAAGTCTTCGCTCTAGTCCTGCAAGCGAAAAGAAAATTGAGACACATGCAACACTTTCCTCCTTGATATTTTTTTAAATTTGTCCTTCTCTCAGATTGTTACTGGCCAATAGGTCAATGAGCAGCACCAGATTTCTAGTACATAGAGAGAGTAGTATTCCGACACAATACGCCTTTGTAGGGCATTGCTCAAGAGAAAAGCACAGGCAGCAAGCAAGAGGTGAAGGAACCGGGTTGGGAACAACATTCTAAAGACATGAGCGGGTCTGGATGGAGATGTTACAAAGGTGGGAATTAGCCATCAAGAAAGCAGCTCTGTTAGAAAGAGTGGCAGATGAAAGGAATGTAATACCTGGGTAAGTGAATTCGGACAGTGCAGCAAAGAGGACAGGGTACATTGCAATCCAGTGACCAGAAGTATACAGTGCTGGGATTGGCACTTTAGTGAGGTCCATCCAAGTGTTTCAAAAGAGCACCAGAATGAATATTTAATCCATCCACTGAGTAGAAGAGACGAATGAGATGGTCAAAATCAAAGGGAATTCTCACAGGCCAGAATCCCTGTACGCCCGGCCAACTCCCGGTTCGCCACCCCCAGACGCCCAGCCAACCCCCGGCTTGCCGCCCCCAGCATGCCCGGCCAACTCACAGCCCTGAATCCCAGTTAAGGTCTTTCTATTGCACAAGCCAAGCAAGGAAAGTAGCCAAGAAAATAAAGCTCGGCTGGCATTTGTACGCATAGTCGCTCAACTGATATCGGAGGCATCAAACCCTGAGCAGAAGTTAGCACCTTTATGAATGAAAAAATTCAAAAGGGTGTGGAGTTCAAGCAAAGACACTTTCACCCTCTAAAATGCTCAACTTTGAATTCAATCATTCACCAAAAACAACAAAAAAAATCAACACCTATCCAACTCTCAAAGGCAATCAATGAATATCCTTGACATCATTTATTTAATTGTTCTTGGGATGTTGGCATTGCTGGCCGGATTGGCTTTAATTACCTATTTCTATTTACACTTCGCAAGGGGCTGGTGCCTGATAAGCCATCTTCTTGAATGCCTGCTGCAGGGATACCACACTGCAGTTAAGGAGGGGATTGCAGAGGGACCCAGCAACAGCAAAGGAAAAGCCAACGTATTTCCAAATCAGGATGGAGTGTGGCTTGGAGACCTAGAAATGAAGGAGTTAGTTGCTCAGAATTGCAGCTGGTGATGTTCCCATCCGAATGCTGCCCTTGTCTTTCCAGATAATAGATGTTACAGGTTTGAAAGGTGCTGTCTATGGGTCGTTGGTAAGTTACCGCATGGCACCTTCAGGATGGGGTCCACTGTATGCCAAAGGTGCAGAAGTTTAAGCTATGATGGCTGCTGTTCAAGCTGGTTTCTTTGTGCAGGGTCAAATGTTCTTGGACTCATCTACATATGCAGACAAGTTGTGGATATTCCATCACACCACTGACTTGGACAATATACATGAAAATGCCGCAGACAGCGAGTTACCCACTGCATAATTCCCAGTCTCTGCCTCACTCTTTAGCCCAAGTATTTCTGTGGCTCACCCCATTCAGTTCCTGGTCAATAGTAACCACTGGGACGATGATTGTTAGGAGATTTTGAAGATGCATCATTGAATATCAAGAGAAGGTGGTTAGATCCTCTCTTGCTGGAGATGTAATTTTCTGGAACTCATGTGTACAAACTCTTAGCCGAAGCTGAAACATTGTTTGGAAAGTGCTGTATATACACATGGACAGCATCAGTATCTGAGGAGTAGCGAATGGTACTGAACATTGTGCAATCATCAAGGAATATCCCCGCTTCTGATCTTACAACAGACAGTGTAGTGATTGTAAAAGGTCAGTCAGGTGGACCTCATAGAATGACTTCCCTGATTGGACCAGATTAACAGCCCCAAACAAGGAGCCCTAACTGACAGGCATAAACAGTGAGAGTCAGACATCCTGTTCACTCGGACAGCTGGATCTGAAGAAGCCGGGCCAGTATCAAGGATTTTTCACGTGTAAATAAAGGGTGACTTAGCGACGGGATACCAGCCTCTATGGAGTTATTTCAGACAGAAGGTCATTGATGAAGCAGCTGAAAATGCATGGGCCTAAGACACCAACTTGACAAATTAAACAATTTAAAATTTACATAGCACTAAGACACAAAAATATATTAGGTCAGATGCCCAAAAGCCTTTTCAAAGAGATAGGTTTTAACAAGTGTCTTAAAAGAGTAAAGCTAAAAGAGGCAGAGAGGTGTAGACAGGGAATTCTAGAATATGGAGCCTAGGCAACTGAAGACAAAACCACCAATGGTAGAGAAATGATGATTGGGAAAGCTCAAGTAGCCAGAACAGAGGAGCATAGTTACCTTGGAAGAGAGTGGAACTGATGGAAATTAGAGTTAGCGAGGGGCGAGGCCTTGGCAGGATTTGAAAATAAGAATAAGTTTAAAATCAAGATGCTGTTTGATTAGGATTTAATGTAGGTCATAAAGGCACACAGGGTGATGGAGGAAGGGGAGTTGTTGTGAGTTAAGGAGCAGCACAGTTTTGGATGATAGTATCTTTAGGCAGGGCAGAATTCTGGAGTAAAAATTTACTCATAGGTGTCAGCATCGCTGATTAAGTCAGTGTTTATTGCCCATCCCGAATTGCCCAGAGGACATTTCAAAGTCAACCACATTGCTGTGGATCTGGATTCGCAGTTATGCCAGACCAGGTAAGGATAGGAGATTTCCTTCCTTAAAAGGACATTAGTGAAGTTGATGGATGTTTACAACACTCAACAATGATTATATGGTCACCATTAGACCAGATTTTTAACCATTTCATGTTACATCATCTGCCATATTGGGATTTGAACTCATATTCCCAGAATATTAGCCTGGATTAACAACTGAGTGGCATTACTACTATACCACCAAATCCCCATAAGGTTGAGTATAAAAGTTATAAAGCCATGGATGAGGCTGTCAGCAGTATATTGGCTGAGAGGGGGGAATGACACACACATAGGAAGGCCAGCAACGTTGGTGGAGGTGGAAACAGGTGATGCAAGTACATAGTCAAAAGGTCAACTTGGAATCAAATGTGACACGAATATTGCAAATGGAGTGACAATTTTAATCTGTTGCCACAGAGAGGATGGAATGGAGTTGCCAGGGAACGGAGTTTGGAGCAAGGCCCATAACCATTGCCGCAATTATATTGGAAAAACTGAAGCCAATGTCCTGAGTTGATATAATTGCCTCCAATAGTCACAACCATCTTCCTTTGTAATGTAGGACTCCAGAAATTGGAGAGATTCCCAGTTACTTCAAACTGCCTAGGGATCACCTCTTCAATTCAGCTGCTTTGTCCCTGCTCAGGCCAAAGCTATAATGGAATTTAGATGATGCATCAATGAGTGGTTTAATGATGAATGTATAGAACTGTCGATGTCACCTTCCATCACTTTGACAATGACTGAGGGTAGGAAGCAATATTGTGGGGAACATGCATTCGAGATGGTTTTTACAGACCAGAATGTATTCCAGATCTGAATGCCAAGGAAGCAAAAGGAAACAGGCTTTGTTAATAGCCTTATGGCAAGGAAGCATTTGGGGGAAAACAGAAAACATAACAGTTTTACAATGAGTTTAACAGTGACTTTGTTTCAGTCTGAAAAAGAAAAACAACCAGGTAAAGAATAGTGAAGTGGTTCAGGTTGAAGCTCGATGAATAAATATTTAATCATTGACTGGCATATTTTAAGAATTAATTCATATTTGGCAGCGACGACAGAGTCATAGTTATTACAGTACAGTAATACCAATCATTGTCAGCCTTATACATTTATAACAGTAAATGTCAATGGCAATGTCACCACTGTCCATCCAACTTTGTCCCCTCAAGCTTCACCTGGCCACTAAGTGGATAAAGAATCTCACTCAGAATTTTTCACAACTTGTCCCCTTTTTGCATTATAACGAAGAAAAAAAATCAGGCAAAAACTAATTGCAGCCAATCCCTCAGGATATTTAATAATTATCTGCACTCACCTCCAGGTAGATAGAGGGTGGATTATGGTCCCCCCCGAACTTGTCCAACAGGGCTTCAATATGCTCCTGAGTTAGCTTGATCATCTGCTTGATGTTCCAGACCTGGTTAAACAGAAAACATGGAAGAACTTTACTCCAAACTTAAGAAGGGTTTCAAAAGAGCCAGAAAAGAAGAGGAGGAAAGTGCAGCCTTGCCAGATGCAGTCCCACAGGTCTTGCTGCATACCCATCATTTGGGGATGCAAAGTTCTGCCTGCAACCATTTCCTTTCTACTTGTGCAAGAATGCCAACCCTATGAATCAATATTGCCACTCACAGGAACACTCGGATTGTGAAATATACACTTGGTACTCTATGCCTGCAATGTCTTCCGGCCCTCCTAGAGCCCTGAGCTCTCCAAATTCTGGCTTCTTGCAGAGCCCAGTTTTAAATGCATTTTTGACAACCAAGACTCTGCATTCTGCAAAACCCTCCCTAGACCTTCTGCGTTTCTCGACCGATGTTCCTGCTGAACTGTGCATTTTCAGCAGCTTGAAAAGTACTGCGTTGGCATGGTTCTGGATTAAATACTGTACAGGCACATTCACAGGAAAACATTGACAGGAACTGCACATTAAAAAAAAAATCAGCCACAAACAGCAAACTTGAAGAGGGAGGTTTCCTCTAGTCACTACTCTTTGAACAGGGAGCATTGCTCTCTAACTCTCTTTCTTCCTTTATGATACTCCTTTGGACGCTTGCCCTAATATCTCGCTGTATGGCTCGGTATCAAATTTTAGTTGTAAGGGGTATTTTACTATGTTAGAGGTTCCATATGAATGCAGTGTAAATTAACTGTGAAAACATGTTTTCTTAGAATAATTTGTTGTTTACATTCACTTGCATCTGCAAAATAAAAAGAAAGACACTAATTGGACATTGTGGCATTTAAAACTTAATATTAAACATCATCTCAAGCCTAAGTACCACAGATGTACAAATTTTAAACCTCAGAAGGTAGACTTCAAACAAAGAGTTAGAGCATTTCTCTGTGCAATATCTTTGGGCATGTCTCCAAAAGAGCAAGGAGAAGCTTTTAAGACATAGGACTTGTCTTGACTCAAAAGCAATATGTCATTTTGCCAACTTCTCTGTCTTGAGGCCAGTTCAGAATTAAGTTGCGTAAATGGCACTAGATTCAGATCACTGTAATCTAAATCAATGGAAGAGCTGATTTTTCGGGTTAAACAGATCTATTCCTGTTCTTTCAGACCAACTTAAAACACATACCTGCTCTTGATCCATGTCAAGGACACATGAATCCCTTTATGAGTTCCTTTTAAAGTGGGCTATTTCATGTAGTCACTTATTTGTCACTACCTTTGCCATCACTTGTCTCTATTTTCCTCCTAAAAGTGCTGAGGCATAGAACACTGGAAAACTCTAGTACACATCCAAGGGACTGTGCTTTAACTGTGAGCCCAGTATGGTCAATCACAACTCAATTCAAGTCAAGCTCAATCCTATACTCAGCCAATGTCATCTCACACATAATATCAGGTGGACTTCCAGAGTGCAGGTGAGAGTGACTGCCTTTGACATCATGCTTGCATTTGACAGGGAGTGGCATTGAGGAGCCCTATCAAAATTGAAGCCAATGGGAATTAGGGAGAAAACTCTCCGCTATTTGGAGTCATACTTGGCGCAAAGGAAGATGGTTGTGGTTGTTTAAGGTTAATCATCTTGGCCCCAGGACATCTCTGCAAGAGTTCCTCAGGATAGTGTCTTCGCCCAAACCATCCTCAGCTGCTTCATCAGTGACCTTCCCTCCATCATAAGGTTAGAAGTGGGGATGGTTCACCGATAACTGCACAATGTTCAGCACCATTTGTGACTCCTCAGATACTGAAGCAGTACATGTCCAAATGCAAGATCTGGACAATATCCAGGCTTGGGTTGACAAGTGGCAAAGAACATTTGCACCACATAATTACCAGGCAATTACTATCTTCATCAAGAGACAATTTAGCCATCGCCCCTTGACATTCAATGGCGTTATCATCAGTGAATTCCCCATTATCAACATTCTGGGGGTTATCATTGACCTAAACTGATCTAGCCAGGTAAGTACTGTGGCTGCGAGAGCAGGTCAGAGGCTAGGAATACTTCAGCGAGTAACTCATCTCCTGACTCCCCAAAGCCTGTCTTCTGCCTCACAGAAGAGGAGATCATTACTGGGGTGCGGCGGGTCTTTGGTGATGTTGGTAGCCTTTCCACGGCAGCAAGCCGTTTAAATAAAGTCCATGAATGGTTTGGGCTATGCACACCACTTTCTATAGTTTCTTACTGTCCTGGGCAGAGCAGTTGCCACAACAGGCCGTTATGCACCCGGACATACTGTACCATCTGTAGAAGTTAGTGAGGGACCTTATGGACATGCCAAATTTCCTGAGCTACCCGAGGAAGAGGTGTTGTTGTGTCTTCTTGACTGTCACACCTACATGGGAAGTCCAGGACAGGTTATTGGTTATTGTCACTCCAAGGAACTTGATACTCTCCACCATCAACCTGTTCCATTGATCTGGATGGCGGTGTGTTCTCCTCCTTTCTTTCTTTAGTTTTGCCGAAGTTGAGGGAGAGGTTGTTCTCATTGCACAACTTCACCAAGCCCTCTATCTCCCTTCTGTATTTTGACTCGTAGTTGTTAGATATCCATTCCACTACAGTGGTGTTTTTAGTGAACTTGTAGATGGCATTCATTTGGAATTTGGCAACAGTCATGGGGGTACAGGGATTACAGTAGGGAGCTGAGGACACATCCTTGGGGGGGCTCCAGTGTTGAGTGTTACTGTGGGGGAGGGTCTGTTACCTATCCTCACTGATTGTGGCCTATGGGTCAGAAAGCTGAGGATCCATTTGCAGAGGGCAGAGCCGAGACCAAGGGCACACAGTTTTGAAATCAGTCTGGAGGGGATAATGGTGTTGAAGGTGGAGCTGTAGTCACTAGCAGGAACCGCTTCTTCCCGGCTGTTAGCAGACTGATGAATGGACTCTCTAGCCTCAAATAATGCTGATCTTGCTAACTTTGATCTCGCCTCGCGCACGCCTTGTGCAATGTAACCTGTATGTCTTTGTTTAAGTCTTTTTGATCTGTACATCCTTGCTTACTATGATCTGCCTGTACTGCTCGTAAACAAAGCTTTTCACTGTTCTTCGTTATACATAACGGTAAATCAATCATCTACAAGGCACAAGTCAGGAGTGTGATGGAATACTCCCCACATGCCTGAATGGGTGCAGCTCCAAAATCACTCAAAAAGCTTGACACCGTCCAGGACAAAGCAGCCCATTTGACTGGTAACACATCCACTCCCTCTATCACCAATGTTTAGTACCAGCAATGAGAGCATCTATGAGACACAGCACAGAAATCCTCCAAGACTATCTGCTCGACAGAACCTTCCAAACCCACAACCACTCCTATCTAGAAGGACAAGGACAGCAGATACATGGGAACACCATCACCTACAAGCTCCCCCCCAAGACACTCACCATCTTGACTGGGAAATATATCACTGTTCCTTCACTGTCGCTGAATCAAAATCCTGGAACTCCCTCCCTAATGGCATTGTGGGGCTACCTACAGCACTGCAGTGGTTCAAGAAGGCAACTAGGGATAGGCAAAAATGCTGGCCAGGCCAATGATACCCATATCCCATGAATGAGTTTTCAGAGAAGTCACTAGGTGATAACTACGAGACAAAAACTTGGGCCAGTTCCCCAGTACGAACCCATCTCTGGAACAGGAGTCACAGGTTCAGATAAATCCTGAAACTGAAACTTGAGAGAAACCAGAAACTGGAAGGAGACATATCCGGACTTATCATTATGCCCTGTGCAAGTCATAAAAGAACCTCATGTCCACTGCCCCTCCTGATTAAAATAATTCCTCCTATGAACTCCAAGAATCTGCCTGAGATCCTTGTGTGGGTTTGTGGACAAACAGTGACCTGGTACCATCTTATAGTGGATTCAGTCAATCACCAGTGGATGGTGAGAAGGTTTCCAAGCTGGAGATAGCATGCCAACACACCACTGAAGTCATGAGAGGGGAAGGTGAGTGAAAGAAAAAGGATCAAAGACTGTTGTAGGAGTTATCCGCTAACACCCTGATAGCAGCTGTGAAATTGTAGATTGTATAAATCCAACTGCATGATCAGTCAGAAGAAGGGAGGCAGGCAGGTAGTCAGATTCAGTGCATCTCACTGAAAAACAGTTTTTCTGTGCTGGACAAACAGGTGAAAGTGATGGTTTTTCTGGGGAGTGTGGTCAGGCCCCAGTTTGCACAAGTGGGGAGCAAAGACGGACAGCGATAGTACCAAGATACTCACAAGTGACAAGTACAGTTTTTGTGGCTGTAGACGTGACTCCAGGATGCGTGTTGCCTCCCTAAGCCCAGAATCGAGGATATCTCTAAACAGTAGAAGGTATACTGAAGGGGAAGGGTGAAAAGTCAGGGGTCAGGGTTAACATTGGTACTGATGACTTGGGTAGAAAGACGGACAAGAACTTAGGGAGCTACCGAGCAAATTGAAAAGCACTACCTTAAATGTTGTAATTGCTGGAGTACTCCTAGTGCCATGTGCTCTTGAGCACAGGGATAGGCAGATTGAACAGCTGAATGTGTGACTGAAGAATTGATGCAGGAGCGAGAGCTTTAGACTCCTGAATTATTGGGTCTGCTTCTGGAGAAGATGAGGCCTATACAACATCTGATGGGTTGCCCCTGAACTGTAATGAGACCAACATGCTCGCTGAGGAAGGAGTTACTGGCTCTACTGGTCAGCGGGGGCGTTGGAGGGGGGGGTTGTTTAGTTAAACTAGTTTAGCAAGGGATGGGATGCTTAAACTAACTTGGCAAGGGAACAGGATACAAAGTGGATGTTGAATAGTAAGTGATACACAGAAAAGCCATGTCAGTCTGACAGGCAGAGTAAATATAGTCAGGTTAAGACACATGTGAGCTCAGCAAGGTTAGAGGCCTCTCATTCTAATGCAAGTAGTCTTGCAGGCATGGCAATTGAGTTGAGGGCGCTGATTCAAACTCGGGGATATGACAATA